ATATATATATATATATATATATATATATATATGTATGTATGTATGTGTGTGTGTGTATATAAATATATATATAAAACAGCTGTGAAAGTTTAGTAAAAGATAGTAGTTTATAAATAAACTTATAGTTAGAATCAGTTAAGATAATCAGTTTATAACTATATATTGTTTAAATGATTAACTCTAGTAGGCTAATTTATTTTAAAGTGACAGATGTTTGCTTTTTATGTTTTACAACAAAGTGATTTTAACCAAGTATGATAATATTTAGAGCTTGAATTAGTTTATTACACTTAATCCAACAATTAGACGTCTATAATGTTTTCTTTGTGTATGTGGACACATGAATAAAGTCATAAGTGTCTTTAACCAATTGTTTTTATTTACATAATTTGAGTTTAGAAACTGCAGGCATGTTAAAATGATCGTTACGATATAATAATAATCATAATAATAATAATAATAATGATGATGATGATGACTGAAATGGGAAACCATACTTGTGAAATTGAATAGGTGGCGATAATGCTAAAGAGTTAGTTACCATATATGGTTTGCCTAAAACGTGTGTCCTAGATCAGTGGTTCTTAAAGTGGGGGTCGGTACCACCCGAGGGGTCGCAGGACAATGAAGGGGGGCCGCCTGGTGACTACCAAAAATCTATTTATTTTTATTAAACCATACGAATTACCATATTTTATCCATAACCTACTGAAGAGAAAAAGCAGTAGCTTATAGTTACTAGTTCTTTTGGACTGCGGCCCCTGGGGTAATTACATTATATTAAAGACACAGCAATAGTGTCAGATGCAGCAGACTAATTTTATAACTCCGGGTTAAACTTTCTGGCACATTTACAACACTCACATACATTAAAATAATTCAACCAAGAATAGACTTGGGTCTACTGGTGTGTGTGCGCGCCATTGCATGCAAAGTTTCCGTAATTATAACCACCTCCGAGGATATTGGGGGTCGCGAGTCACTGGCATTGTCGTTTTGGGGGTCGCGGGCTGAAAAGTTTGGGATCCGCTGTCCTAGATTGTGTGTGCCTAAAACGTGTGTGGTTCTGCGGGCCTGCAGCTGGATATACATCTCATTTTTTTCAGTAGGGATAACTTCACTTTATAACTTATACCTGTATCCTGCACTCCTGGTTAGACCTAAACTGCAGTGTGTTGCCTTGTACTTGTACATGTGTAGACAATACAGTTTAATCTAATCTAATATTTATAAATATATACAATTTTTAGAAAGTAACATGTTTGACGAGATTCTGTCGCCATCTAGAGTCTATTAGGTATTTATGACTACAGAAAAAAAGTGTTTGGTCATGCAAAAAAAAAAAGAATGAATGAACTGAGCATTATTCCAATAGTATGAAGCTGCAGGCCTGGAGACCCAACCGCACGCTCAGACCTGCTCGCTCAGACGGCTAGACCTGCACTTCCAGACCTTCACAGTGCCACCTGCTGTTTAAAAGATCGACTAACCTGATTTCAGCTGCTTCTAAATTGTAATTTAAACTATTTTTCTACTATAAAATATTAGGCTGTGATTGAATAGATTATTATATGAAATATTAAACGTACTAGATTTTTGATTTAATACAATAATTCTATTGTATTTTTATTAATTGTATTTGTAAATAGATATTGTTCAGTTGCTTCAATATTTTCAAACATTTGTTGTTGTTTTTTATCATTAAGGATTTATCACTGTTTCATATTGAGTTGAGGGAATGAATATTATCTTCATATACAATAAATTTCTTCACATACAATTATAGTACTCTAGGTAATTTTCTCACAACCAACTTTATTTTTGTGTACTTTTTCATAAGGTCCTACAAGTCAAGTTGCAAACAATGCATGGAAAAATGGTGAAAAATAATAATTGGAGTAATAATTTTTTTTTTTACGTAGAAAATAACATCAAATAAAATAAATGCTTATAATTCTTATTGGGGAGATTTTTCATTTCTAGAGCAAAAAAACTGGAGTATCTTCAGTCTTTGGTACACTGTATTAGTGTTGGCAGAGACCCACTTTTAATAAAAAAAAATTTGTTTTGATTTCACCTAATAGAGCTCATATTGTAAATTCTATGCAAATTTAATTGATTTTTTGATTTTCAAAAAACATGTTTGTAATCATTACATAACTTGTAAATAATTGATAAACTGTTATTGTGTTACTGTTATTGTCTTAAGTAGCACTCTTAGATAGATAATACAGAAATACGTACAGTAGACCTATAAAGCACTAAAATATGTTACAAATAATAATTGCGCTATATATTATAGGCTGCATTTTATTTTAACTTTTTTACTTTAAAGTTTTTTTTTTATTTTGCCAGAAAACATTGCTAGAAAATTGTCCCAGAATGGTACAATAATAGATAAAATAAGAGCAAGCTGTAAATATCATAAAATAATGCTCTTTTGACACAAATTTTGATCAAATCAAACACTGAAATAATTCTTTGTTAGTGTAATATTTTACACCACAATGATTTATGCCATAAAACTTGATAATTTTCAGGAATCGCTTTAATAATCAATAACCTTACTGGCGTTTCTGATGTTGCTACTTGCTAGAAAGTGCTGGTCTGAGTGTGCAGTTAGGTCTCCGTACCTGCCGCTTCACCCAACCCAACAGCAGGGGGCACTGTCTGGTCTGGAAGTGCAGGTCTGTGCGCGCAGGTCTGAGCGTGCAGTTGGGTCTCCGGGCCTGCAGCTTCCCCTTACTCCATTATTCTGCTTATACATAATGGCATGTCTTCATTTGAATACACTATATTTCATTTGTAAATAGGTTATCTCTATCTCTTATAAAATATGGATTAAGCAATGCTATAAGCAACTGACTGATCACGTTCAGAAACCGTGAAGAGAAACGAAACCGAAAGCAAGCAACTAAGCTACAAGTCAGTGAACGGAAACTGATCTCTGATTGAAGTCAGTAGCAAAGCAGGGCGATCAGTGAACTTCTTAACAGAGCTAGTTCACATCGAAATGGATCCAAACATGAGCAGCGATCAAGACACCGAGACTCGACACATTCTGGACTGTTTCAGAGACAGACTCAAGCGGCTTATTCAGGTCGAGCCTCTGCTGGATCTGCTGGATTTCCTTGAACCGGACAAAAAAGAGCGAATAAAAGCCAAAGTGGCCTCGGAGGGGAATATTAATGCCGTTTCTTTGCTTATCAATGAGATTATGCGCGCAGAGCTCCAGCAGGGGTGGTCGAGGACTCTGGTGACCGCGCTGGAGACCGTCGGGTGCGGGCACGCCGCGCGGTATGTGCGCAACAGGCCGCCGGAGCCAGATGAAGAAGCCGAACACGACAGCTGTGTGCGGCTTATAGACCTGCTGCATCTCAGCCTGGTCAACATGAAGACCCGGGACGTGTGTGTGCAGTGTGTGACTCTGGGGCTGCTAACGCAAGAGGACCAGGAGAATGTCAGTGCTGTGTTTACACTACACAAAGCAGATTAGTGTTTACACTCTTAGATCGGGGTTTACATGCTGTCATGTGTGACCCTGGACCACAAAAGCAATACACTGCATGCAAAAAACAACCTTTTTTTTTGGTTTTAAGAGTTTTTGTCTTTTTTCTAGACCAATTTTTTTTATATAAAATTCCGAAATTACACAGCATTTTCTAGACAAGTAATAAATGTGTTTTGTTTTTTTAATGTAAGTCAAAATAACTGGACTTTTTTCTTAAAACAAGTTGACCAGTAGAATATTAATGCTGTGTTTACTCTCTGTTTACAATCTTAAGCAGATTAGTGTTTACATGATGTCATGTATGATCCTGGTCTACAAAACCACCAATACACTCACTGCATGCAATACACACACAGTGCCCTACAGAAAAATCCAGCTTAAACCAGCCTAGGCTGGTTTAAGCTGGATTTTTCAGCAGGGAAGGGTACAGAAAGTATTCAGACCCCCTTAAATTATTCACTTAAGGGCACAGAAATGGCTTGGAAGGAGGGGACATGTCCCAACCAATATCTAAAATGTCCCTACCAATAATTTAATCGGCATCAAAATGAAATAATGCTCTGTTAACCATTAGTAACCTACACGTGCACAAAGTTAAGTTCGCTACGAGCTCACCATATTACTATTGACCAAGACTGTGCAATTAATGAAAATATCCAGTTTAATTTTGGCCTCAATGATTATGAAAAACAATAATCAGGATAAAACAGTTAAATTACCTCACACACCTCTCTAAATTCCTCTACATTCATACCTCCTCAAAGCCTGACTGCAGTAAAATCATGTAAATTGACTGTTGCAGCATGGGACGTGATTGTTATTTGTATTATTAAGTGTTTATTTTATATTGTTGAGTACTTCATGTTTTTAAAAGTGCAAAACAGAATTTGTGCTGTTCAATTCGTGCACTCTAGGGATGAATTTCCCCAGCAAAGCTTGCCCTTGTTTTCACTCTTTGTTATATACAATATCCATTGCAAAATCCTTGAAGTTTTTTTTTTCTCAATAATGTACACACAGCACCACATATTGACAGAAAATTCAGAATTGTTGACATTTCTGCATATTTATTTAAAAAAGATAATCTGAATTATCACAGTATCCAATGCTGGGCCTAATGCCGAGTTCAGACTGCATGATTTTGAAAGTAGTCATGTCACAGATGTTTTCACACTGCTTGACTATCTGGGCTAGCGTTTCGTCGCTGCTTTGTTTACACTGCAAGATAAATCGGCGACAGGGACTTTCACATTGCATGACTTTTTATAGGAAGAATCGCCGACAACTTCGTCCAAACTACATCTCACAGCCAAAAACATGTAGTATATCTTTTGTTATTAACTACATAATAAGAAAGAAGCCTTTAATGGGGTGGAAAATGTACATGTTTGCTCACCTGGGTTTAAAGGGAATTAGCCATTTCTCCTCAACGTTGATAATAAACTAATTTCTGTCTATATGAAATGTCAAACAGACACGGTTGCTGCTGAGTCCTGTCAAACCTCCACTAGTTATTCCTCCATTTCGTGAGTCCAAATAAACCGAAAAAGAGCTTTTAACTTCTCCCCCAGCCTCCCGCTGGCCTGCAGCAGGTAAACACACACGCACACACAAGTTAAAGCTGCTCTCTCATTGGCTGTAGGCGATATCTGATGTTATTTTCAGTCAAAACTCAATTCACTCGGCATGATTTGAATCGCCGACAGCTCCAGATATTTAGCACACCAAATATCTCGTAGGCATCGGCGACTCATCAGCTATTCTCTCAGATCGCGTCTTTGATTGTTCATACTGTGTGATTGTCACTCACGTGCACAAGCAGCGATTTGCCTGTGATTTCAGGCATTTGTCTGCGATTTCTCAAAACCTGTCGGCGAGCCAAAATCGGGGCTAAAATCACACAGTCTGAACTAGGCATAAGTGTTCAGACCCTTTGCTCAGTATTTAGTAGAAGCCCTCTTTTAATCTAATACAGCCATGAGTCTTTTCGGGAAAGATGCAACAAGTTTTACCCACCTGGATTTGGGGATCCTCTGCCATTGCTTCTTACAGATCGTCTTCAGTTCAGTCAGGTTGGATGGTAAACGTTGATGGACAGCCATTTTCAGGTCTCTCCAGAGATGCTCGATTGGGTTTAAGTCAAGGCTCTGGCTGGGCCATTCAGGAACAGTCACAGACTTGTTGTGAAGCCACTCCTCATTACTTTAACCGTGTGCTTAGGGTCATTGACTTGTTGGAAGTTAAACCTTACTCTCAATCCAAGGTCCTGAGCACTCTGGAGGTTTTCGTCCAGGATATCCCTGTTCTACCAGAAAGACTTGGGAGGCGGAAAAACGTTATAACATTTATTGAGAAAGCATAAAATATAGTGATATCAGGTACTGTCCTTTGTGTATAGTCCTTTGGCTTATGCCCCGTCGATGATGCATGTCTCGTGAAAAGCTGGCAAATACTGCCTGAAGATGAAGGCAGGGCAGAACTTCGGTTACGTCACCTTAGATCAGCAAAGGAAATTGTTTAGACAGCCTATTTATATAACTCGCTTGATCATAATTGGCTAAATTGATAATAATGAAAAATTACGTAGAATTAGAGTTTTCCTGGTAGAACCTTCGCTGAAGCTTACATTACTTGGCCACATTCATTTTTCCCTCCATTGCAACCAGCGGTCCTGTCCCAGCAGCTGAAAAACACCCCCAAAGCATGATGCTGCCACCACCATGCTTCACTGTTGGGACTGTATTGGACGGGTGATGAGCAGTGCCTGGATTTCCCCACATGTACTGCTTAGATCTTTTTGGTCTCAATTCTATCTTGGTCTCATCAGACCAGAGAATCTAATTTCTCACTATCTTAGAGTCCTTCAGGTGTTTTTTAGCAAACTCCATACAGGCTTTCATGTGTCGGGCCACTCTCACCCCCGATAGCTCAGTTTGGCAAGGCAGCCAGCTCTAGGAAGGGTTCTGGTCATACAAAACGTCTTCCATTTAAAGATTACGCAGGCCACTGTGCCAACAATTCTGTTTTTCAGTCAATATGGGGTGCTGTGAATCAACTTAAATGAATTTAGTAAATCCACCCGGGCTCATTGTGGAAACGTAGCCCCGCGGACGTTTCTAAGGACCGCGATTTACGTCCCGGGAGGTACGTATTCGAGCGGTTTTTGTTTTCACGGATCTGCGAGAGGCCGCTGTGCGCGCTTTTTCGCGTCTCGGGCGCCTCTCGGGCGCGCGCCGTTCGCGCCCGCGCCATTCTCGCACGAAAAGCCGCCAGATCGGCCGACTCGGCCGCCCTGCTCTTCCTCCTCTGCATCCTTCCCTAAACCCAACCGACGGTTCGCAAAAGCAGTCCAGAAAAAAAAAGAAAAAAAAAAAGCAAAAGCCCTCGTCTTCGATTTAGACCCTGATTTCGAATCCCGCCGCGTTCTCGCCCTTATTTTTCGGATTCTGTTTTTCGTCTTACCTTATTTCCGGAATGGCTGTTTCCCGGACTCGATCCCGGTCGTCGTCTCTGCGGGCAGCTCCTCCTCTGGGGCCTCCGCTCCGCCGACGCAACGCTGTGAGCTAAGCGGACAAACTGGTTGCATCAGGAAAGCCCTCCACTTGGAGGCGAGCCGTCGGCCGGCGAGTGCGAAGAGAGGGAGCGGAGCGGCGCCACACCGCCCCGCAGCGTTCGCTCGAAAAAAACTAAACGCGGCCTTACGTACCTCCGGCCACGTAAATCGCGGTCTCCAGAAACGTCCGCGGGGCTACGTTTCCAGAATGAGCTTGGGTTATAGTAAATGGCTGCAATATAACAAAGAGAGCTAAATTTAAGTGGGTCTGAATACCTTCCATACCAGCTGTGTGCGTGTGTGTGTGTGTGTGTGTGTATGCATACATTTACAGTTGAAGTCAGAATTATTAGCCCCCCTTGAAGTTTTTTTCTTTTTCTTTTTTTACATATTTCCCAAATGATGTTTAACAGAGCAAAGAAATTTTCACAGTATGTCTGATAATATTTTTTCTTCTGGAGAAAGTCTCATTTATTTTACTTCAGCTAGAATAAAATAAGTGTTTTACTAAAAAATTAAATTATTAGCCTCTTTAAACTATATTTAATAGTATATTAAATAACTATATTTAATAACTTGGCTAATTACCCTAACCAGGGGTGCGTTTCCCAAAACCATCGTTAGCCAACTAAGGTCGCAAGTTCCGTCGTTACAAACATAGTTCGTTGATTTGTTTCCCCTAAATCCGTTGCTCCAATGAACATTCGCAAACTGCGTCGCAAACTTAAGCACTCGCAGCTACAGCTCTCGAACTGTAGTTAGAAACATAGTTCCTGGCTGTGTTCTATTTCCACTTATTCCCCTTATGCCCTATTCATTAGTTTTAACATTCTAACATTCAAAGTTGAAATTATTAAAAATGAAAAAGCATTAGTGTCATCTCTCTTAGGTGTAATTTGCTTTCAAAGTATTTTTACAGTTCAGTTTTAGCGATCTTCATGTTTACAACGGGCTCTATTCGCAGTGCACTTTGAAAACATTGATGTAATTTTGAACACAGCCTCATGGCGAAAGGTATAGGTGACTTATTATTTAAAAGCGGAATTTATGTTACGTCTCCAAAGCTTGTGAAAACAAAAAGCATCCGTTAATTCTTTTAATTTATAGTGGGTTATTTATTAAGTACCTGTATATGACATGGGCCTGCTGGTTTGAACATTTCTGCAGTGGTTTACTTGTCTCAAATTGTAAAAGTAGATTTTTCTAAACAATAAAATAATAATTATCATCATCATAATCATCATTAATATTTTTATTAAAAGTATGATTTTTTCATTTCTAATAAATAATAAATATTAAATTTCATTTTATAATAAATAGCCTCATTATTTATTTATATGATTTATATGATATTAGAATACGTGTTAGCTTTTGTAAGTGTTACAGTATGTTTTAGAATAGGATATTATGATGTTTAACTTCTCAATAATATTTGTAAAGGAAACACAGGCCTTATATGTGCCATTTACATATATTTCAAATAATATGGAAAGCGAGTGCATGTTTTTACCAAATCTAATATTGGATTTTATTTTAAATGCGTGTGCGTGTAAAACAATATAGTTTGCACAAAGAAATTATGTGTTTTTTCTCTATAAAGAAGTAGTCAGTCCACCCAGTTTAGAACATCATTATGGAGGTTTTATATTATAACTAACGTGGTTCAAGTGATGGATCGGGTTTTGGGAAACACTCATCACTACATTTGTCTTTTCCCAAACGATGCATCGTACTATGATAGTTCAGCCGTGAGTTAGGTCGTTGTTTGGGAAACACACCCCCACCTAGTTAACCTAATTAACCTAGTTAAGCCTTTAAATGTCACTTCAAGCTGTATAGAAGTGTCTTGAAAAATATCTAGTCAAATATTATTTACTGTCATCATGACAAAGATAAAATAAATCAGTTATTAGAAATGAGATATTAAAACTATTATGTTTAAAAATGTGTTGAAAAAAATCTCTCCGTTAAACAGAAATTGAGGAAAAAAATAAACAGTGGGTTTAATAATTCTCACTTCTACTGTGTGTATACAGTATGTGTGTGTGTGTGTGTGTGTGTGTGTATATATATGTATATATATATATATATATATATATATATATATATATATA